GCAATAGCTAACAATCAAAGGATCTAAAGATAGATGCCATGATTAAAGGAAGGTTAAAATGGCAATTCAGGCCGTTGAGTGACCAAGGGATTGTAAGCCTCAGATGCCAGTTGGGATATTAAATAGAAAGAGAACAAGTTTAATTGGGAAGAAAATGATCTCTGGGCATGTGACGCCCTGCTTCAGTAATCAGGAAGAACAAAGGCAACCATTATACAGCCAGGTTTCTCCTTCCAATTTCTGTTTGCCATGCCCCAAACAGTTTTTCTTCACCCCAAATGTGCACACTAACTCTTGAGAAGAGGGGAGCGGGAAGGAAGGAGGGGAGGGGAGGGAAGGGAAGGGAAGGGAAGGGAAGGGAAGAGAAGGGAAGAGAAGAGAAGAGAAGAGAAGAGAAGAGAAGAGAAGAGAAGAGAAGAGAAGAGAAGAGAAGAGAAGAGAAGAGAATTATTTATTGGCCAAGTGTGATTGGACACACAAGGAATTTGTCTTGGTGCAAATACTCTCAGTATACATACAAGGAAAGATACATTGGTCAAGAATCATAAGGTACAACATTTAATGATAGGCATAGGGTACAATAAGCAATCACATCAATCAAAGAAAAGAGAAGAGGGAAGCGAAGGGAACAGAGAAGGGAAGGAGGAAGGGAAGAGAGAAGGGAAGGGAAGAGAAAAGGGAACGGAATAGAGAAGGAAGGGAAGGGAGGAGAGGAGAGGAGAGGAGAGGGAACGGAATAGGGAAAAGAAGAGAAGAGAAAAGAAGAGGAGAGGAGAGGAGAGAAGAGGAGAGAAGAGAAAAGGGAACGGAAGGGAACAGGGAAGGGAAGGGAATAGAGAAGGGAAGGGAAGGGAACAGAGAAAGGGAGGGAAGGACAAAGGGAAGAAGGAAGGGAAGGGAAGGGAAAGGGGAAAAGAGAAGCAACACGAATATAAGCCCTATACATTTTAAGAAAATATGAATATATTTCAGTTTAATCATCCATACATAATCTACATCTGTAGCGAGCTGTACATAATACCAGGGCTTAAATATGGCATGACATAAATTATATCTTCTCAAGCTTCAAGAACTAATTTCTTAGCAATAAGGAGAAGGCAGTTCCACTGCCTGGCCATTGATTTGCCTGTAATAGATACATAATTTAAAAGAATATGAACATTCAACTTTTATTCAGTCTGGTCTCAAATTCAACTATGTAATTACTTTTTCCCTGAATGCAATATGTTTTACAGGCTTTCATGTTGTTTGTTCTTTTTTTAAATATTGCTTTATTTTATTTTCTCCTTTCCTCCTTTTTTATTTGTTTTAACTGTTCGTATGCTATCCAGAGTTTGTTTGTATATATGTATACACACACACACACACACACACACACACAAAAGAGAAGAAAGATGATACAATTTGGCATAATAAATGAAGAATAACTTTAGAGCAGGAAAGATCATATCCAAGTAATTCTCAAATTACGACCAGAATTACTACAATCCTGTAAATAATTCTGTAGGGGTTAAATGAAGCAAAGCCAACTTTACAACCTTTTTGCTATGGCTTTTAAGCGAATCACTGCTGTTCTTAAAGAATTTACACAGTCAGTAAGTGAATCCAGCTTCTCCCATTGACTTGGCTTGTGAGAAGCTGGTTGGGAAGGTAGCAATATGGGGATCATGTGATCCCGGGACAATGCAATCATTGTAAATGCATGCCAGTTGTCAAGAGCCCGAATTTTGATTTGTGTGACCCTGGGGATGCTGCGAAGGTTGCAAGTATGAGGACTGGTCATAAGTCATGTTTTTCAATGGTGTTGCAACTTTGAATGATCACTAAATGAATGGCTGCAAGTCAAGGACTACTTGTGTTTGAATGAAATGTCAGTCTCATTCCAGCAACACAGTGATTTAATTAGACTTTTTTTTTTTTTTGCAATATGTGCAATGATTTTGGAATTGTCTCTGCTGTAAACTTTTAAAAATTGCATTTAGTATTGGATTTTTGCCTTGGCTTCTTCTTTATCTACATTCAATGCAGCTTATAATATCAATTGATCAGAATGTTTTCGTTGTTTTTATTCATAAACTTTCCCTGCATAAACAGAGGGATAGAATCAAGATCACGTGAAGTGTTAATACCACTTTATAAAGCCTTAGTAAGACCACACCTAGAGTACTGCATCCAGTTTTGGTCACCACGATGTAAAAAAGATGTTAAGACTCTAGAAAGAGTGCAGAGAAGAGCAATAAAGATGATTAGAGGACTGGAGGCTAAAACATATAAAGAACAGTTGCTGGAATTGGGTATGTCTAGTTTGATGAAAAAAAGGACTAGGGGAAGCATGATAACAGGGTTCCAATATCTCAGTGGCTGCCACAAAGAAGAGGGAGTCAAGCTATTCTCCAAAGCACCTGAGGGCAGGACAAGTAACAATGGGTGGAAACTAATCCAGGAGAGAAGCAGTTTAGAACTAAAGTAGAATTTCCTGACAGTGAGAACAATTAATCTGTGGAACAATTTGCCTCCAGAAGTTGTGAATGCTCCAACACTGGAAGTTTTTAAAAACATGTTGGATAACCATTTGTCTGAAGGGTTTCCTGCCTAGGCAGGGGGTTAGACTAGAAGACCTCCAAGGTCCCTTCCAATTCTGTTGTTCTATTCTATTCTATTCTACTCTATTCTATACCTCCCCTTCGCTCCTCCACAGTTCAATCTGCTTTGTGCTTGAACTGGCTGTCTGTCAGCCCTGGAGGCCATTTTGGGCTGGAGCCATTTTGGGAGCATCTTCAGAGCTGCCACAGCCAGGCTGGTTGGAGCTGTGGGAATGTGAGGGGGTGAGACAGAGATAGCTGGGGGATGTGTAGCCAAACAACATTCTTTGCCATGGGAGCCAAGGACACTCTACCAGGTGTTGGAGAGGAATGGTATACCAAAACCAGCTGGAGCTGGGACTATGACCTGATTGGACTATGTGATGGATGTGTGACCTGGAGGGCAAAAACTTTGTGTTTTGAACTGGTTGGGGGAACCCTCAGGTCCTTCAGAGTCGGGTTTTCTCCAGCTATGCTAATATGACATTCCTAATAAATTCATACTTTGAGGAAACTCTGAGCCATAGAGTTTTGATTGCTTTGGGTCTGTTACTTGGAACCCTGGCACGAACCCAACGCTGAAAGAACTCTATGATCGGCTAACTCTCGGTTCCCAGAATTCTTTGTGCTGTCCAAGGATTCTGGGAATTGAAGTCCAACCTATCTCCAAAACACAGCAACCAATTTGGCTGCTCAGACTGATCTCGGCTCACTCAGACCTTCCACAAGTGAGCGCTTGCCAAGATCTCAGGTGCTCACCTTGCTATGGGCGTACACCACCGATCCCAGAAGCTTCCAGGTGCCTCCTCTGCGGTCCATTCGAATCATGCGCAGGATCTGTAGGAAGCGCAAACTTCTGAGCGCGGAGGTGGCAAAAACGTTCCCCTGTGACCCAGCGGCCAGCACAGCAATGGAGGCAATTAACACCATGATGTCTGTATAGAAGGAAGAGAACCATATCAAAGGATCTGCCAGACTCCAAAAAACCAAGAAACACCTATGAGATTTTTTTTGAAGCAGTTTCCTTTATTGTTCCTCATCTATAGACCGAAATCTTACCAAATTAAAGCAAACGGTTTGCCCCAGAAAGCATATATTCTGGGAACTGTTGAGGAGGAACTGTCTTTCTCATACACAAACTCTCTAAGGTACGTTGTCTCTTCCTTCTCTGGAATGCATCCCCTCCTCCAGGAAACCTGGACTATATTCTAAAGATGGGTGGATGGAAGGAGGGGGGGAGAGAGGGAGGAAAGGAAGGGAGGGAGGGAAGGAGGGAGGGAGGGAGGGAAGGAGGGAAGGAGGACGGACGGACTCCAAAAACCAAGAAAGACCCATGAGATTCTTCTAAGTAGTTTCCTTTATTGTTCCTTATCTATAGACAGAAATTTTGCCACACGAAAGCAGACTATTTGCACAATAAAACATATACTCTGGGCCCTAGTAAGGAGGAGCCATCTTCATCCTCTTTCTCCCACACAAACTATGTAAGCTTCATTGTGTCTCGCTCCTGTGTAATAAAGCACCTCCCTCCTGGGAATCTAGACTATATTCTAGGAAGGAAGGAAGGAAGGAAGGAAGGAAGGAAGGAAGGAAGGAAGG